GGGACTAAAGGCCCTTCCAGACCTACCAGCTGGCTCAGCGCTCGGCACTGGGCCGATGGGTATCACTTCCACTAATCCACCAACCCAGCTGTGAATCCCCAGCATGAGGGGTGACGTCTTCAGACGATTTGTATATGTAAAGGCTGAGTTACAGAGAGACAGAGAAATGTCTTCCATCTGCTGGTTCACTCTGCAAGTGGGCCACAACAGCCAGTACTGGGCCAGGCTGAAGTCAGGAGCTAGGAACTTCATCCAGGTCTCCCGTGAGGGTAACAGGGGCCCAAGCACTTGGGCCGTCTTCCGCTGCTTTGCCCAGGCCATCAGCAGAGAGTTGGATTGGAAGTGGAGCAGCTGGGACAGAAGCCAACGTGCATATGGGATGCCAGCTTCACAGTGGTAGCTTTTCCCACTATGCTGCAACACCAGCCCCTATAGCAACTTTGATACGTCCATCCCCACACTAGGCTGCCAGCGACGTGCAGTGTCCCCATGGCTGCCTTTCCTTGCGCATTGCCTGCCTACCTGATAGTGGCACTTTGGTATTTTCTGCAATAGAAGAACAAACCACAGAGTAAGGACTCACTGAGGCTTCTGTTTTATTGACCAAAGTAGGATATCTGGGAACCAAACTAGCCAGGAGTGAGCTCTATTTTTTTAATATATACATAATAAATAAATTGACCAGTCTATGAGTCTCAACTCCTGTACAGAATTGTGTTACCCCGCTACTATCAGGATACAGAGCAGGTCCACTACTCAGTAAGAAAAGCCCCCTGAGGGACCGGCACCATGGCTCACTTGGTTAATTCTCCGCCTGCGACACTGGCATCCCATATGGGCACCCGTTTCTAGTCCCGGTCGTTCCTCTTCCAGTCCAGCTCTCTGCTGTGGCTTGGGAAGGCAGTGGAAGATGGCCCAAGTGCTTGGGCCCTGCACCTGTGTGGGAGACCAGGAGGAAGCGCCTGGCTCCTGGCTTCAGATTGGCACAGCTCTAGCTGTGGCAGCCATTTGGAGGGTGAACCAATGGAAGGAAGACCGACCTCCCTCCCTCCCTCCCTCTCTCTCTCTCTCTCTCTCTCTCTCACTCTCACTGTCTAACTCTGTCAAATAAAAAAGAGAAAAAAGAAAGAAAGAAAAGCCCCTGTGTCACAGGACTCCCAAACCCAAGTCCTGACAACTACTGAGCTGCTGTCCATCCTTAGCATCTGGTCTCGCTGACACTAGAGCAAATGCGGTCATGCAGCCTGTCGCCTTTTCAGACTGGCTGCTCTCATTCAACATAATGCCTTTCAGATGTCTGCGTGTTGTCCCTTATCAACAGCTTGTGCCATTCATCCACTCCTGCTTACTACAGAGCCGCCTTCTACAGTATAGATAGCTCCCAGCTTCTGTATCCATTCACCTGTTGATGGACAGTCAGATTGCCTGCTTCCTGTCTGGGGAAGTGTAAGTAGAGCTGTCATAAACGGCCATGTGTAAGCTGTTGCATTGATGACATTTTCGTTTCCTTAGGGTGAATGCGTAAAAGGAAGAATGCTGGGTCATTTGGTAATTCTATATTTAACTTTTTTACAGACTTATTTTATTTATTTGAAAGGCAGAGTTGCAGAGAAAGAAGGTCTTTCATCCACTTCCATCCAAAATTTCACTCCATAAATGGCTGCAATGGCTGGAGCTGGGCCAGGCCAAAGCCAGGAGCCAGGAGCTACATCCAGATCTCCCATGTGGGTGCAGAGAGGGGCCCGAGCACTTGGGCCATCTTCCACTGCTCTCCCAGGCGCATTTGCGGGGAGCTGGATTGGAAAAGGAGCAGCCAAGGCTTGAACAAGCACCCATAGGGGATGCCAGTGCATGCCACTCACTGATCAACTTAGGGAAAATTGGCATCTTAACAGTGTTGCATTTTCCAATCCATGAACACTTTATTTCTCCCATTGATTCATGTTTTCCTTTTCCATTCTTCAGCATTTTAATTTTACTTCTTCAACATTTTGTAGTTTTCAATATATAGTTCCTACACACGTTTTGTTAGATTTGTATCTAAGTATTTTTGTTTTTAGAATTGTTGGTGATGGTTTTATTATTAGGTTTCTGTTTCCAGTCATTCTTTGCTAGTATAAAGAAGTAATTTTATGTGTTGGCCTTGTGTCCTACAATCTTACTAAACCCATTTATTAGTTCTGGGAGTTATTAGGACTTTCTATGTAGATGATGGTACAATCTGAAAATAGAGGCACCAGTCACTTCCCTCTCAACCTGTATACCTTTTTATTTTCCTGGGCTGCCTTATGCACTAGTGGAGGCATTATAGGAGGCTGCATAGCAACAGCAATAGTGGAATTTTTGCAGGTCTTAGAAAGTGTTGTCCTTGCTAAGTACAATGTTAGCTATGGTGCTGTCATAGGTGTCATTTGTTAGATTAAGTCTTCTAATCCTGGTTTGCTAAGAAATTTTTTACAATGTTTATTTATTTATTTATTTGAAAGAGTTACAGAGAAATTGGTAGAGAGAGAATCTTCCATCTGCTGATTCACTCCCCAGATAACCACAACAGCCGTGGCTGGGTTGGGCTGGGCTGGGCTGGAGCCAGGAGCCAGGAGCTTTATCTAGGTCTCCCACATGAGAACAGGGGACCAAGCACTTGGGGCATCTTCCACTGCTTTCTCAGCCCACTAGCAGGGAGCTGTATTGGGAGCGAAGCAGTTAGGACTCAAACCAGCGCCCCTATAGGATGCTGGCACCACAGCCAGGGACTTTACTCACTGTGCCACAACGCTGGCCCTGAGAAATTTTTTAAATGTTCATTTATTTTTCAGCTACTTGAAAAGCATAGCAACAGAATGAAAGAGAGAGATCTTCCATCAGCAGGTTACTCCCACATGGCCACAATAGTCAGTACCAGACCAGCCAAGAACTCAACCAGGGCAGCCTGTATAGGTGGCAGGATTTCAGTGCTTGAGTTCTCATCTGCAGCCTCTCATGTGTATTCACAGGAAACTGAAATTGGAAGCAAAGCAGTGGGGACTGGAGCCACACTCTGGTATGAGATGTGGGTGTCCAAGAGGTGGCTTAGCCCACATTACCACAGTGCTTGCCTCTGCTGAGAAATTTTTATCAGGAAAGGAAGACAAATTGTATCAATGCTTTTTCTGCATCAGTTTATGTGATTGTGTGGGTTTTCACTTTTAACCTGTTATTATATTGATTGATTTTTGAATATTGAAATAACTTTGCATTTCTTTTTTTTTTTTAGAGATTTATTTTATTTGAAAGTCAGAGTTACATAGAGAGAGGAGAGGCAGAGAGAGAGAGAGAGAGAGAGAGAGAGATCTTCCATCTGCTGGTTCACTCCCCAGTTGGCTGCAATGGCCAAAGCTGCGCCGATCCGAAGCCAGGAGCCAGGAGCCTCCTTTGGGTCTCCTGTGTGGGTGCAGGGACCCAAAGACTTGGGCCATCTTCTGCTTTTCCAGGCCATAGCAAAGAGCTGGATCGGAAGTGGAGCAGCTGGGTCTCAAACCGGTGCCCATATGGGATGCTGGCACTGCAGGCCAGGGCATTAACCTGTTGCACCACAGTGCCGACACCTAGCCTTGCATTTCTTAGATAAACTCTACTTATTCATGATATATTGTTTTAATACATTACTGGATTTGATTTGCTGACATTTTGTCCTCGTGGCATCAGGGTTCACTCCCCAAATACCTTTAACAGCTGGGTCTAGGCAAGGCTGAAGCCAGAAGCCAGGACCTCCCTCTGGATCTCCCCCATGGGTGACAAGGACCTGAGAACTTGAGCTGTCACCGCTGCTCCTCAGGCTGTGCATTAGCAGGAAGCTGGAATCAGCAGCAGAGCCACAACCTCAGCTCGGGCACTCAGACATGGGTGCACGTCCCAAGCAGTGTGTTAGCTTCTGCCCCAAACACCCGTCCCCTTCATGAGCCTTTTTTTTTTTTTAAGATTTATTTTATTTATTTGAAAGGAGAGTTACAGAGCAAGAGGGGGAGAGAGGGAGGGAGGGAGAGGGAGAGAATGAGAGAGAGAGAGAGAGAGAATATCTTCCATCTGCTGCTTCACTCCCCAAATGGCCACAAGGACAGAGTTGGGCCAGGTTGAAACCAGGAGCCAGGAGCTTCATCCAGGTCTTTCACATGAGTGCAGGGACGCAAGCTTTTGGGCCATTTTCTGCTGCTTTCCCAGGAACATCAGAGCTCCAGATTAGAAGTGGAGCAATGGGACTCAAACCAGCGCCTGGGTGGGATATCAGCCCTGCGGGCGGCAGCTTAAGCTGCTGTGCCAGAGTGCCAACGCCTTCTTTAGTCTTTCAGTCCTTGTGTAGTCTGCAGGGATAGCCTCGCGTCTGTTCCCGATATTGGCAGTAAGGTCCTCTCTCCTTCTCTTGGGCTGGAAGTTTAATAATTGTGTGATCCTTTGAAAGATATCCTCTGGCCGGCGCCGTGGCTCAATAGGCTAATCCTCCGCCTTGTGGCGCCGGCACACCAGGTTCTAGTCCCGGGCAGGGCGCCGGGTTCTGTCCCGGTTGCCCCTCTTCCAGGCCAGCTCTCTGCTATGGCCAGGGAGTGCAGTGGAGGATGGCCCAAGTGCTTGGGCCCTGCACCCCATGGGAGACCAGGAGAAGCACCTGGCTCCTGGCTTCGGATCAGCGCGATGCGCCGGCCGCAGCATGCCGGCCGCGGTGGCCATTGGAGGGTGAACCAACAGCAGAAAGGAGGACCTTTCTCTCTCTCTCTCTCTCTCTCTCTCTCACTGTCCACTCTGCCTGTCAAAAAAAAAAAAAAAAGATATCCTCTTTGCTCTCTTGTTTTTCTGTTACAGCTGCATTCGTTTTTGCTCTTATCTTCATAATTTCCTTCCATCTGCTTGTTCCTTGAAACTTAATGAAGATTAATCAACATTACTGAGCAAAACCATTCGACATGTGTCTTACAGTCCATCGTTTTGTAAACCGTCCTCATGGTTGTCCCCGTGTTGTCTTTCTTCAGTTGACTGGTCTGAGTGTCTCCAATGGAAAGGACCAACTTGTCGTGTTCCACACAAAAGACAACAAGGACCTCATTGTGTGCCTCTTCAGCAAGCAGCCCACCCACGAGAGTCGGATTGGAGAACTTGTTGGAGTCTTGGTGAATCATTTCAAGAGGTAAGATGTGGTTTTCGTAACTAAAACAAGCTTTGATGATATGCAGTCTTCAGTCATAACTGTCACTGAACCTGTTTTGTGCCAACTGCGATGTATTCAGTTATTTTCCTCCATAAGGACAAGTGAAGTCATGTGTTTCACAGAAGGTAAAATTAGCATCCAGGCTGAGTCTCTGGATTAGGAATGCTGCTCCACTTTCCCAGCCTCGAGCTGAACGAACAGTAAGAGGTTCCCCTCATGGTGATTTCTTCACTGCCAATCCAAATGCAATTAAATCCACCAGATAAAAAGCTACTTTACACTCTTATTGTTACAGCCTCTCGTTTGCCCCAACTATGATCAGATAGTTTGTGTGCTGTCACTATAAACAAATTAGAAGCAGACTGGGGATGGTGTGTGATGAGTGAAAGAGTTCCTGAGACAGGCAACAACCACTGCAAAAGCATGGCGGAACTGGATGTGTCCCGAGATCTTTGTCGTAGGGTGAGTGTGTGGTGGACGATGGTGTGAGAAGTACACACAGAGACGGGCCCTGCGGGTTGCTGGGAACCAGCGAATTGGTACATTTAAGCAGAGGAGCGTTCTGTTTGTCTGTTGAAATGTCTGGAGACAATGTGGGGTGGGCGTGTCTCGCCCAGGTAAGATGTCCTCCCACTGGAACACGGTCTTTGCCTCCCCTTCCCCACCACCCCTGCCACTGGGAGAAGCCCACTCATCAAATCAGTGACTGAGAAGTGACGTGTGTCCAGTTCCTCTTTCTCCTAAAAGACGTAAGTTCCCAGAAGTAGCGGAGTACTCCCTGGTAGCCCTTTCTTCGTGTTTGGATGGGCTTCTCATTCTCCACACAAAGACACGTTTAGGGTCACATGTCCACATGTCTGGGTCTGCAGTGCTGATGCGTGCACTGCACAGAACATGAACTTGTGTTCCAGCTCAAAATGGATCTTTAGATATTTTAGGTAATTAAATACTTGTAAATGCCGCAAATAAAATAATGCTCAGTGGTCATCTGGTTGGGAAAAAGTAGAATATAAGGAATTATCAAAAAATGAGAATAAGCATACAGACCTTTCAGGAAAGTTTCCCTTCTATCTCCAAATAATCATAAAAGAAAGAAAAATACAACAGAGTTTCAAATGGAAGGGAACGACATCTCTATACTAAATGTCTAAAACTCACATAAGCAGCCTTATTTTCTTGCTAATATTCATTCATAGTGAAATATGGACAACTAAAATAATTCTGGAGGTTTTTTTAGTTAATTGTACCTATTTCTGAGGTATGATATGGTAATACATGTACACAAGCATGATGATCAAGTCAGGATAATTAGGATTTCTTTCTCCTTAAATATTTGTCAATTCTTTGTGCTGGGAACTTTCAAACTCTTCTTTTCCAGTTCTCTGTAAAATGTACAATACGTCATTGTGAGTTGCAGTCACCCTGTTGTGCTGTAGAACAGGAGAACTTACTTTGTCCCTGTATCTCCCTGCCCCCGTCCCCTCCCCACCACCCGTCCAGTGGTCACCGTGCTCCTCCCTTCTCCTATGAGGTCGACTTTTTTAGCTTCCACATGAGTGAGAACATGTGGTGTTTGTCTTTTTATGCCTGGGTTACTTAACATAAAATCCTCCAGCTCCATCTGTGTGGACACAAATGACAGGATTTCATTTATATATATGTATAATATATATAATTTATATATAATATATAATATGTACATAATACATATATCACATTTTCTTTATCCATTCCTGTGTCGGTGGATGCCTTGGGTGATTCCACCTCTTGGCTATTGTGAATACTGCTACAGTGAACCTGGGAGCAGCGCGAGTACCTCTTTGATAAACTGATTTTGTTCCTTTGACTGCATACACAGCACTGGTATTGCAGGATCATATGGCAGTTCTATTTTTAGTCTTTGGGGACCATCCATACTGTTTTCCATAATGGCTATGCTAATTTACATTCCTACTGTGAGTGTGTAAAAGGCCCTCTTTCTCACCAGCCTTTGTGGTTTTTTTTGTTTTGTTTTGTTTTTTGTCTTTTTGATAATAGCCGTTCTGACTAGAGTGAGATGATAACTCATTGTGACTCTGATTTGGATTTCTCTGATTAGTGATATTTAGGCTTTTTTCATATACTTGTTGGCCATTTGTATATCTTAGAAAGATGTATGTTCAGCTCACTGGCTGAGTTTTTAATCAGTTTATTTGATTTTGGGTGTTGAGTTTTTTGAGTTCCTTATATATTCTGGATATTAGTCCCTTGTTGGATGACTAGTTTATAAGTTTGTAAGTAATAGTTTGTAACCATTTACCAGGTTGACTTTTCATTCTTTTGATTGTTTCTTTTGCTATATGGAAAATTTCTTAGTTTGATATATTATTTTGTCTATTTTTGCTTTTTTGGGGGAGGGGGGAATCTTACCAAAAAACTCATTGTTTCTGACAATGTCTTGAAGTGTTTCTGCTATCTTTTCTTCTAGTGGTTTCAAAAATTCAAGTCTTATACTTAGATCTCTGATCTATTTTGAGTTGATTTTTGTGTGTAATGAGAGATGGGGTTTAGTTTCATTCTTTTGCACATGGATAACCAGTTTTCCCAGCACTTGATTGAACACACTATCTTTTCTCAGAGTATTTTTTGGTACCTTTGTCAAAAATCAGTTGGCCAGCCAGAGCTAGCACTGTCACTCAGCCTTAAGCCACCACTTAGAACACTGGTGTCCCCTATCAGGGTGCTAATTTGAGTCTAAGCTACTCCACTTCAGGCTAACGTGCCTGGAAAAGCAACAGAAGATAGCCCTGCCACCCACATGGGAGACCAGGATGGAGTTCCCAGCTCCTGGCCTCTCCTGAGCCCAGGCCTGGGATCTGGGGAGTGAACCAGCAGACAGAACATATCTCTCCCTCCCTCCCTCCCTTCCCCACTTCTCCTCTCCTCTCCTCTCTTCTCTCCCCTCCCACCGTGTGTGTGTGTGTGTGTGTGTGTGTGTGTGTCTTCCTCTCTATCACTCTACCTTTCAAATAAATAAATATTGTTTTAAGAGTCACCTTTTAAAAAAAAAATAACTGACTGAGATGTATGGATTCATTCTGATGTCTCCATTTCGTTGTCCCATGTGTTAGTTGCTATGCCAGTATCATGCTATGGTGGTTACTATAGCTTTGTGATATGTTTTGAAGTCATATATTACGATGCCTTCAGCTTTGTTTTTGTTTTGTTTTCTCCAAAATTTCTTAGGCTATTCGGGATTTTTTTTTGTGGTTGCATATGAATTTTAGGATTCTTTTCTGTAATTCTTTAAAGAATGTCATTGGTATTTTGATGGAGCCTGCATTGAACTGTAAATTGTTTTGATTGGTATATATTGGACATTTTAATAGTCTTAATTCTTCTAGTGCATGGAGCATGGGATAGCTTTCCATCAGCGAGTTGTGATTATTGTTTAGAGAATAGTCACTTCCTTGGTTAAATTTATCCTGAGTATTTTGTGTGTGTGGCTATTGTGAATGGAACTGCTTTTTTAATTTTTTTTCAGCCACAGTTTATCTTAATTCAGATGCCTGTAGTAATGAATAGGATAGCTTTTTCCTGGGAAATTGAAATATTTTGCCTCAATCTAAGTAATTTGCTTAGTAAATTTGCTTAGTAAATCCTAATCGCTGATAAACGCCTTCCACAAGGAACAGAAACATGTGAATCTGGTCCTAGAAGCCATCAGTGGCTTTCCTTTCCTAGCAAATACATCCTGAGATGCAATTTTAAGTGCATGTTTCCTGTCTTCAATAAGAGTGAGAAGTGTTAGTTTCTTTAAAATTCAAAAACTAAAGGAGGAAAAAAAGCTTTCAAAATGCCAGAGTTAAAGAATTCAGAGGTTGAGTAGAAAGGGAAGGTCGCATCTCTGCTCCCTGAAAGCTCACCTTAGAGCTGCAGGCATCCGCTGCTGTTGGCTGCTGGAGGAAAGGTTGACCTGATGTTTTTCCAGCCCTTTTCCTTTACCGTCAAGTACATATTTTTGCCGTGAGGCTGCAATTCACACTGTGTTTTACAAGCATGGGGACGTGCTGCGTGATCTCATTTGTCCCTGGATTATGTGTGGAAATCCAAACGTGAGAAGGATTTCACTCCAGACCAGTTCTTTACCTTCCAGAAGATTTCCCTGTACCATATCCCAAGAAGTTCGGTTCTCAAAAGTTCGGAGGAAAGGGCTCAAAATTACAAAGCATACCATAGAGAGATTTTAATAGGAGTCATTGTTTTTTACAAAAATTTTAAAGAGAAATGATGAGAAATTAAAGTCCATGAGTAAAATTCTAACCATGTTTCAAAGATAGGAAAAAAAGTTAAAATTTTGAAAAAATGGGTATTTCATTAGTAGACTAGTACAACACTAGACACAAAACAAAAAAGAATTTCATATATATAAAAAGGAAATTAAAATCTAATCCCATGTGGTGTGGAAAGTTTATATATAAGTGTGTGTGTGTGTATATATATGTGAATAAATTTCATGTATTTAATTCTACAGATTTAGGAGCATGGTGACATTCCCACCCCCACCCTACCCTCCTCCTTCCTTTCTTATTTTAATTTCTACAATGACATACTTTCAGTTTATTTTATACTTACAAGATTAACCCTCCACTAAGTAAGGAATTCATCAAATAGAAGAAAAAAAGCACCATTCCTCCACATTGGAGATAAGGGCTGTAAACAATAATTCCCAAAATGTCAATTTCACTCATATACATCATTTTTTTTTTGGTACTCTAGTAGTTACCGCAGATCAGGGAAAACGTGGTATTGGTCTTTTTGGGGACTGGCTTATTTCACTAAGTATCATGGCTTCCAATTGCACCCATTTTGTTGGGGAAGATAGGATTTCATTCTTTTTTTATGACTGGGTAGTTTTCCAGTAGAAAGTTTTGGATGGACATCTGACCTAGAGGCTAAGACACTACTGGTTAAGACTCCGTATCCCACATTGCACTGTG